CAGAGTATAAGTGATGAAAATAGATAGAATGAGAATGGATAAGCAGATGGGTAGAAAGGCCTAATCAGTTCGACAGTGGTTTTATTTTGAAAATCTTCATCAGAAGTTTTGCTTTATGCCTCCCCCCCCCCCTTCAGCTTGATGGTGGTGGGTATAGACTGAATGTGGGCAACCTCAGACAGGTAGAGGAGACGAACTGCACCGTGGTTGGACTCGATCGTGCAGGACTGGGTTGGGCTGCAGGACGAGCAGCGGTGGACGCTGTGCACGCTCGGTGCGCGGAGTCTCCTGCGGCTGCTGGATTCACAGTATGATACCAGATCCAAAACATGGTTTGGCTGATTCTCCCATCCTGAGCCTTCGCACACATGCTGGACACTTAAATGTGGACGCGGGGAGGACGAGGGACGTAGGCTATAGCTGCAATGGATTAATGAGGTGTACACATGGACTTCGGGTTTTTTCCCCCTGAGATTATTCCCTGCTAATATATATTTATCACCGTGTCTTGGCCATGGAGAACCAAGCAGCCGAGCCGCAGAACTATGAAGACGTGCAGAAAAGCGGCTATCTCCGCAAGCATAAATCAATGCACCGGCGGTTCTTCGTGCTGAGGGCGGCCTCGGAGCATGGTCCTGCTCGACTTGAGTATTACGAGAACGAGAAGAAATTCCGCAGTAAATCACCCGTGCCCAAAAAAGTCCTGAGCCTGGAGACTTGCTTCAACATCAACAAGCGGGCAGATTCCAAGAACAAGCACATGATAGTGCTTTACACCCGCAGCGAGAGCTTTGCCATCGCTGCGGACAGCGAGGAGGTCCAAGATGAGTGGTACCAAGCAATGCTGGACCTCCAGGGCAACTGTAAGATGTGAAACAAGTGTGATGTGATCTCTGCTGTCTGTTTCTGCATCGGGCCCATCCTGGCTCATAGGCTGTTTGTTCTCCATGCACGTTTGGCTCGACCATTCCTGGTTGTTCATTGCATATCACTGGCTTGGAATTGTTTTTTATATATATATATATATATTTTGCTGCAGCTCTAATTTAGCAATTTCATTTGAATAAATCAGTCTTAAGTTAAGCAATTTGGACGGTGTGTTTTTAACCAAGAGGCAGGTGGATCCGACTGAACGGGGTAGACCAACACGCCATGGGCGGCATGTGCCGTGTTTGTGCTGCACAAATCTCAATGAGCGTTGGTTTTAATACACCTAGAAGCTGCGGATCATTTTCTGTCTGCAAAATGAAGCTGCGGATCATTTTCTGTCTGCAAAATGAAGCTGCGGATCATTTTCTGTCTGCAAAACGTAATTCGGTGTTTTAAATAGCGCCTATATATAACAATATTTAGATGCTCGCCCTTTTTTCTGTCTGAAATGCAGCCCGTTACATTCGACGGTGTGTTTTTGCATGGCGCAGTGGGCATATAGCAACCATCCAAGGGATGCATCATATAGTAGTAGCCTATCGTGGTGCACTCCGCTGGAGCCTGTGTTGTTGTTTTTCTGCACAGCTCTGACTGCCGTTCGCCTAACCTACATTTGTGTTCCACGGTGCTGCTGGTAGGGAGGAGATGGCATCGTCAGTGCGCTCTCACTGGGAAATGTGTTTCTGTTGGTTATCCTCGTGTTTACGTTGTTATCCTTATATGCTGGAGCTGAGAACACCACCCACCCTCCCTGTTATCTTTTTTTTGCATTTCAGTTAGCTGAGACTGATGGGCTTGCCCAGCTTTAATTTTTTCTCACACGTTGTGGAACCTTGAATAGAGACACTGAGTAGCTACAGACCCCCATTTTGTTGAGATTATGTCTCAGGGACAGTCACCATAAAACACTGTTCCTAATTGATATACCTCTCCATAATGTGCACGGGGACGCACAAATGGAGATTGAAACACATTAATATATCATGTTACGGTGATTCCAGTGGGGATCATCTCTAATAGATTTAACATTTTTCTTGAGGATGGGAGAAAACCACTACAGTTGTCAGATGTTCAGTGAATATAGCTGTGACTGTGTGGCAAGAGGAAAAAAAAAAGACCAAATTATAATTTGAAATGTGATTGGCATTGAACTGAAATATGATGCATTATTTCACAATTGAGAATGCTGCTTTTCGGTAGATGTATTCTCCTAAGACTTAATTGATTATAGAGCTGTAGCTTAAAAGTGATGGTGATGAATTAGCTGCAGCACTGTTGCTTGGCAGAAGCTGGGACACAGTAGAGATTCATGCATGTAGAAGTTTAGCAATGGTAGATATTACTTATTAGTGTCACCTTCACTGGTTTGTCATTTTGGCTTTGATTAATATTCAAACAGGTTATGTATTATATGTAAATGTAGGGTGTTTATTAATGTATGTATGATATGTTTAGTCATGAAACTATTTAATTGTTTATTTATTCTTCATTGTATTCATAGGTAAAACTCCTGAAGACTATGGCAGTAGTGGAGAGTGTAGCTCTCCGTCTCCTGTTCCAACTGTCAAGGAAGTATGGCAGGTCAAGGTTTGGCCTAAAGGTCTTGGGCATGCCAGGAACTTAGTGGGCATCTACCGGCTGTGCCTCACTGACAAGACAGTCAACTTTGTCAAACTCAACTCTGATGTGGCATCCGTGGTGTTGCAGCTGATGAATGTTCGCAGGTGTGGCCATTCAGAGAATTTTTTCTTCATTGAGGTGGGCCGCTCCGCGATTACCGGCCCTGGAGAGTTCTGGATGCAGGTGGATGACTCTGTGGTGGCTCAGAACATGCACGAGACCCTGCTGGAGGCCATGAAGGCCCTGAGTGAGGAGTTCCGTCAACGCAGTAAATCTCAGTCTGTGGGGACGTCGTGTGGGGGTGGTACCGCTTCAAACCCCATCAGCGTCCCGAGCCGTCGGCATCATCCAAATCTGCCACCGAGCCAGGTGGGCTTATCCAGACGAGCCCGCACAGAGACCCCTGGAACGGGAGGCAGCAGCACGAGCACTTCGCCTACATCACGCCACGGATTCCCGAGGGCACGGACTGCCAGCATCGGGGCCAGGTCAGAGGAGGGCGGAGCAAGTGCCAAAGGGACATGGGCCAGCTCCAGCCCAAGTCTTAACGGTTCCTGCTCAACTACGCCGACACTGAGGCCCAAGCCCACCAGGGCCCCAACTCCTGCTAAGATTACCCTCAGCCTTGCGCGGTACACGCCTAATCCTGCTCCCTCTCCTGCACCGAGTCTGTCCTCCAGCTCTGGCCATGGCTCAGAGTGTGGCCTAGTGGGGGCAGCAGTAGGAGGAATGACGATCTGCTCCTACCCTCGAGTCTCTCAGAGAGTTTCTATGTCAGGTTCGCCGAGCGACTACGGCTCCTCAGATGAATATGGCTCCAGTCCTGGGGAACACTCTCTGCTCGTACCCAGTCTGTCCGGACATCACGTACATGGGGAAGGCTCCTCCAGCTATATAGTGATGGGACAGCGAGAGGGCCTCCTCGGTTCCCATCATCGCTCAAAAGGTCGACGGATTTTGCGCAGCTCGTCCAGTAGGGAGTCTGAGGCAGAACGCAGACTATTAAGTAAAAGGGCTTCTCTGCCTTTGGCACCCCATGAACGACTGATCCCACGTAGAAAAGATGAAGATGATGAAGACGATGAAGAATATGCCATCATGTCGCAGAGTGCTAATCGAGAGAGGGCTGGCTCAGGGGGTTTGCTGGCTGGGGGTGGGCAGCTTGACGCAGGAGGGAAAAAAAGAGGCAAGAGGGCTGACAAAAGCAGGCGAGAAGTGGAAGGTGGAGCAGCTGTGGATAGCGGCTATATGTCAATGTTGCCGGGAGTCACTTCTCCCGTTTCACTCTCTCTCTCCATAGGTATGGCTGACGCCAGAGCTAAACCTGGGGCAGATGATGAGTATATGTCCATGACCCCCAACAACAGTGTTTCCCCCCCTCAGCACAGCCGCCAGCCCAGCACAGAGGGCTACATGGTCATGTCTCCCAACAGCAGCAGCTCCACGGACCTGCACGGACTGGGCATGTGGGACAGCAGGGCCAGCATGGAGAGCCGGGCTGCCAGTGACTACATGAACATCTCACCTGACTGCAGCCGCTCTGCCTGCAGCACACCGCCTTCCCACCCCGAACAGCACCAACTGCAACCAAAAATGTTCAATTCCTACTTCTCCCTGCCAAGAGCTTATCAACATACTCTCTATTCTCGCTTTGAGGAGGACTTAAGCAAAGGGGAGGGAAATAAGGACAGCAGTGGGCACGACAGTGCTGGAAGGGGAGGGGGAGTGGGATACAGCAAGAGAAACAAAATTGCAGCGGGCTCTGCAGGAGGCTGTCAACTCTCCATGTCTTCCTCTTCCTTCTCCTCCAGCTCAGCCAGCAGTGAGAGCCTGGAAGACAAGTCCATATCGGCAGGGAGAGGGTTGAGTTTAGTAAGGACTGGAGCAGAGTACAAGTTTGTGGGAACATGCACAAAAGATGGGCGCCATCATCAAAAACGTGGATCAAGTAGTAAGAGCCCAAAGCAACAAAGGAGGGGTCGTCCCCTCAGCATGTCTTCAGACATTATTAAAGCAAATACCCTTCCCAGGGTGAAGGAGAATCTGCTGCCATCCGTGTCACAAAATGTCGGTGAGTATGTCAGTATTGTGTACAAGGAGGACAATAAGTATAGCAGAGGAAGACGTTCAGGTTCTGAACGCAGACAACCTGTGATCCATGGAACCCTCCGGCCTTTGAATCAACCCCTCCTCTGCCACGATAATCCTGCTATCCTTCCTCGCAGCTTCTCCGCTCCGCTGTCCACCTCCGCCGAATACGTCAGCATGGATTTAGGAAAGTCCTCGACGCCCCTGACTCCTGTTAGATCCACATTCAGCACCCTACAGGGCCCACCAGCTGTTGCCCCCAAGGCCCGGCGTGAACACAGCACGTCCTCTCTTCCGGCAGCGGAGGGCAATGCTGGGTACAGAGCAAAAGTAAAGATGGCAGCAATGCCAACAGACGCCCCTACTCCATTCATAGACAACAAAGGTTCAGATCCCAGCATTTCAGCAAGACCTGCCATCCACCTTGGTCAACCCTCATCCATGGAGCGTGAGACAGGCTCGGGTTTCTCCCCAGTCAAGTCCTACCAGTCTCCCGAGCGGAGCGGCAGATTGGTCCGAGGTGACTCGCAGGGACGGCAGAGCCACCGTTCAGAGACATTTAGCTCACCTCCCTCCCACCCACGCCACCCGCCCTCTTCTACCTCCATCTTCCCGGAGGGCAGCCAGGCGGCGAGCCATCGGCATGGTTTGGATTGCTCACTGTGGGAGAACAGGCAGGCGGCTAGTTTATCTGCAACACCTCCGCCACAAGCCTCCACCTCATCTGCTGAACAAGGCCTTAACTATATTGACCTTGACCTGGCCATTAAGGAGAACCCTCAAACCGGAGTGGAGCGCGCCTCTGCCGCCTACAACATCGGAGGGAGCGCCATGGGCAGCGGTGCTGTCTCCGGCCTCAACACGTATGCCAGTATTGATTTCTATAAGTCAGAAGAACTGAGAGCACACCAGAACAGCAGGAAAGATGGTCAAGGTAAGTATGACTTGGACTGCAAACCCATCTCATCTTAAAATATCTATTACATTTTTTTTATACAACGTGAGATTATGTGTTCATAAAATGCTCAGATATTCTACAGCTGAGGCTCTGTACATTCTTAGATGATATTACAGTTTATGACAGCTTGTATAAGGTCGCAGTGTCTGCTTTGGCACCTTCATTTGTTCTGTTGTAGACAATCAGGTAATTGGTAGCTGAACAACACTTGTTACAGCAAGAGGGGGCAAGACGAAGTATGAGGCTAAACAAAATGTATCAAATATTTAAATAATATGGAAAATACAGCTAAATATGATTCAAGTGTCTTATATTCCTCCTCTTCACTCAGTAGGACGCACTTGATTACTTCTTAATTGTTTGACTTTTTTATAACCTTTCAAAAAAAGAGTTAGGATAACAAGCATTGTTTGCATCTTCACTTTGTCTGGAAATAGCACATCAGTAGAGCTGCAGCTATTAGTCGATATAAATCTCCAACAATTTCATGATCGATTGATTGATTCAGTAATCTTTCAAACAAACAAAAAAGTTTAGGCTGCTTAAATGTGATGATGTGCTGCTTTTCATTGTCATACAGTAATATGATTATCCTCTCGTAATTGGACTGATGAATTTGAAGATTCCACCATATACTCTTGATTTTGATATCTTGCCCCAGATTAGTCGATTAAGAAAATAAATGTGAGTTGCCCTAATTTTTTGCATTTTTATTTATTCATTGCAAAATAATGCAAAAAGAAATGATGCTTTTTTTATTCAAGATGCAATGTTATAACAGCTGCAATTATTAGTTGACTAATCGATTAGTCAATCAACAAAAATGTATCTGATTAATCGATAAAAAAATAATTAACCTAGATTTTCATTTGCAAATATTTGCTACTTTTCCTAGTCTATGATAACAAACAGCATATCTCTGGGATATAGACTGTTGGTCTGACAAAATCAGCTGTTTGATTTTCTCAATTTGGGCTTTTCCACAATTTTCTGGCATTTTATAGATCAAACCATTAATAGCTGAATATGTAAAATAATCAGCTGATTAATCAATAATTACAATAATTAGTAATTGCATCCCTAACTGGCAATAATAAATAAACAAAAATGTGAAAGAAATTATTCAAAAACGGGTGAAAGGAAAGACTACGTAATTCCTGGTTGCCTAGCTAGATGTAAGCTTTTTATGTGCATAATCCACAGACAAAGCTAATGTCTGGGTCTTAGTCACTCCTTCCCCTTTCATCCTCTCCTGATGTGTACCTTTGCTTTAAGCTGGAGAGCAGCACTGTGTTTCCAGGCTGTGGGTTGTCTGTAGAGTCTCTTATTATCACAAGTGGGTGTTCAGAGAGCAAAGCCAATTGATTTGTCTGCTGGTAATGAGCCATTTCACGTAAATGGAGGTAGAGAGGAGAGAACTCAGGCCAGGTGTTTATGTTCATGTGTGGGTGTGTTATCGGCTGCAGGATTTCACATGGCAGCTTTGAGGTTTTCCTCACATTGCACAGATGACAATTATTTAATGGTTAATGTAAAGTACATTTTTGATGGATGAATGCTGAATTACTCAAGAGATCTATTGCTTTTACATGCCAAGAAATAAAAGTATGTTTAAAATGTACATTCAGGAAAACATTAGCATTAAATAGGGGACTGAATGGAACATACAACTTATTTATTCGGAGCAGCTACAACATCTGCATGATTGATTTATCTAGAACTATTCAATCTCTACGTGTACATGTATATTCATAATAATTGCCTAATTATTTAAATTGGGGATATATATGGGCATTAAACATGCACAGCAAGCAAAAGAAGGCTCTGTTAATATTCTGTAAATTACTCTTTCATGTAATTTTCCACACTGCGATTAGTGATTGATTGCTTTCTATAACTGCAGCCATATTCTAATAATGGAGCTCACTATATGAAGCCTGGCTACAGGGGAGGACGGTGACTGTACTGCAGCACGTAAAACCTCCAACAAACAGGCTTCTCAAATGTTGCTAATATCACCTTACTCCACCTGTTTTACATTTTAATTAAATGCTCAAACAAAGTGTTGATTAAAACCCCCAGAATTAGATTAGGATATTTAATTGTGCCCCGTGTTTTAATTGCTGTTTTGTCACTTCTGCATTACGAGCAAAGTGTTCACGTGAACGTGGTAGAAGAGTTCTCGTCTCTGCTGATGCAGTTTTATTGTCTTGGCAAGATGCAAAGACAATGATGCAACTTAAATCTTCCAGTTTGTCTGGTGTTTGTAAATGGTTAATGACTTTTATCTGATCCACTTCCAGCGATATGAGTCGTTATTAGTGAACAAGACCGCAGACTACCCATGTTCTCACATTCATGAGCTTCATGCAGGAAAATGAACCAGACTGCCTGCATCTTTATACTCTTTTAAACAGTCAAAAATTGTAATAATGGCTATTTGCATAAAAAACAAAAGAATACAAATGCGGTGAAACGCAGTGCAGAACATTTCCACCCGACAGTCTGCCTTTTTAACACCGCAATATGAGCGCAGAGTGTTGAGGTAGCAGACAATCATTTGACTCTCAAAGTGGTTGGAGCAAGCTGTTAGACTGCAGGTTGATTTATAAACACTTGTGTCTAAGGTAACTATGATTACCCTAATGAAGGCAATTCTTCTCAATTTTTAGACCTCAAGAGAAAAATAAATCTTTGCAGACAATCACAACCCAGATATTTGCTTGCTACTGACTTTATTCTGCTGATATGATCAGAACTAGAGCCCTCTTTGTTTCGGTGGCTCATTCAAACGAATCAACAGTTCAAAATCCCTGGAACTGCTAGGTCTGACGCAAAGACACAAGGCACATAATATTGACATCTGCAACAGCGTGCATGAAACTCCAATCGGTAAAATCCTTTCAGTAAGATATCACGCGTCATGTGATATTTACCCAAGCAGATAGCCGGAGCTCAAACGCAATATGATTTGGAGAATATATAATCTAAACTGCTTCACCTTCTGCAGCATTTGGGGACATTTAAATTACATTAACTGTGGATTAGTACGCAGACTATAATTATAATAACACAATTACTGTAACAAGTCGAAAAACCTTTGTTTTGAAAATGGGTGATTTTGATTATTTCCTGCTTTTAATTCTTTTCTTTCAGATTGTTGATCTCCACAAGTCTGTGAGGGGACGGTCGGCTGCTGATCTGTTGCCACAACACAACTGAACACTGAAAACCCTGGAAAACTCATCCCCATCCTGTTGGCTGTTTTCTGTCAACCAAATGTGTGCCACACACACACACACGCACACACAGATAAGGGAAAAGGTTTTGTTTTTGCCTTGATTCAAACAAAAATGACATTTGATCACCTTTTAGTTCAATGCAGATAAAGGATGACAATTTGATATGTGATTGTGGGCGACTTCTCAGGTGGCCGTTCTGGCAATAAAAATGTCCATCTGTACATCTTAATTTAAAACACACTGTGATTGGTGCATGAGCCAATCTTTTCAACTATTGTAAATCAATCTCAGCTGCACTCTGGAGTGTTTATTTATTCAGTGCCAAACTTGAGGTTCATGTTTTTATATATCATCCTTTGTCCATGTGTATTAAGTTAAATGATCATCAGGTGTCATTTTGACGGAAAAAGGAAGGAAATACAGATTGGCAGAGGTTTCATACACTCACTGTCAACATATTTGATTTATTACATACAGTTGCCCAAAAAAAGCCTTTATACTTCGTGACCACTTTTCTTGTGCTATAGTGCCTAATTTCTGAGGTATAATTAAGTGTATGGAATTGACAATGAAATTATGATATACAAATGAAATTTCGATACGATAATTATGTCTTTCATTCATTTCAGTTTTTCACACGAGAAGAAATTGGTTGGGAAAAAATCCCACACATCGTATGCAATCTTTATGAAATACACACAAGTGTAAATGTGTATTATTAAATAGGATATCGTAGGATTACAATTTCATTTTCGCACCGCAATCGACAACCCATTGTTGTACTCGGAGCTTGAGGTTGCGGTTGAAGGATGAGAACAATGGCTTTCTTTTTATTCTTTCAAAATTGTCATAATGTAATTCAGTGTTTTCCTACACAGAACACACAGAAGTTTTATCCCTAAAGCTTTCGATGTGCACTCACACAGGATAGGTGTTTATACAGCCCCAGCTTTGATTATGCACAAACTAATCACGTCCTGTGGCTCATCCTCAAATGCTGCAGGTATTAGTAGTCAATGTATTTCAATTGTATTTGGGATATTTGGCGAATTCATTTATACGGCGGGGAGTTTAAGGATTGAAAGGAATGTTAACCGATCATCTGTCGGCTCAGTGGGCATTCTGTCCTTTTTATAGAATTTCTCCCCCATGTTAATTATACAATTATTGTTTTTATCTCAAAATACAAGTGACCATATTTACATACACACTAACACTTCAAACCTTCTGTAACTGCATTTAACAGAAAAACAATCATTTCATTGGATCAAAGCAGGTGCATAGATAAACAACAATGTTATTTATTCAATAATCACACTATGCAACATTGCATAAAAATGGCCGAATTAACATAATGTTCTTCTGCTGTGCATGTAAACAACTTCATCAAATTGGCTTCAAACGCGCAGTAAGGACAATAATTAGATTGTATGTATGTAAATGTCCTCACTGAGATGTGCTGAGGGGACCTGATAACAGACTTGTTTGGGAAGGAAGCTGAATTTTGAAAAGAAAACATTTTTAAACAGCTTAGGGGGTTGAGTCTTATTTCTAATTTTATGAAAAATTACAATCTCACTCCCTACATATCTCTACATTTGACTATAATATGTGTATTTTTAGCAACCATAACAAAATGGTGAATACTCTTTATTACTCCACTCTTTATTTATTACACCAAGAAGAAAAATATGCTCAAAATGCCCATATTTGAAGTCGTACATGTACTTATTATAGGATACATTTGACTAGATAATAAACAATTTTCAAACGACTGTATCATTGACAGTATAAGATAATGTAGCACTTTGAGTTGACACAGACCAAATAAGATCTCAAATTATGGCATTTTAACCATTTTGTAGCACAAAAAAAGTGAAAAAGGTCACCTTTTTGGCAACCGAGCTTTATTATAACTGTATATTATACTATACTACAGTGTACACAAGTAGAATGACAGAAACTATAGTACATGCTGTAGTCTGTTTTCCTCATTTTCATAACAGTTCTAATTCTAATATAAAGTGACACATTACAATGGTATATAAAATATACAGTACACATATAATGATTAATACTATATAGCCTAGATAACTATATACTCTTTTATAAAGTGCCTCATTTTTGATTGTAGCTGTTTTTACACAGGTAATCTTAAAATGGGAAAAAAAAAAGTGTTGTTTCTCTCCTGAGTCTAAATTGTGAATATGTTGAACTTAACAGAAGACAGACCGGACACTTATATTGATATCAGTCAGCCATAATCAAATTGCCTTACTGTGTTTATCAGAAACATGAAGAGAAGAAAAACAGAAGTTATTTTTTTTTTTTTTGCAGTGCCTAACAATTCAGCCACAATGTAAGCACTCCATCGCTCTTTAGTTTGGCTTCGTCGCGCTACGGTTTGGCCAAAAAGAAACCATCTCTTTTTCACACCCTGGGATGCATCCACTTCAGGCCCTGCTTTACATTTTCATCTTGAACTGTCCACTACCAAGCAGCCACTTGCTCAGTGTAGAAGCTGACGGCCTGTTGCAGTTGGGACATTCCATCTGAACAGTGGACACTGTGCAGCCGATAGGTTGCGGAGAGAAAATGTAACAAATGCATCTTGTACAGGAGGATTCTGCATTGTATAGATTTTGATGTCAAATCATATTTTTAATGACTTTCCCTGTTTTTACTCCCAAGAAGAAATGAATGCAGTTGCCAGTGTCATGTATATATAATAAGTTGTCCACTTCTTACTCGATATAACAGAGAAAATGAAATTTGTTCTCCAATTCACATGCAGTATGTTTTTGAAGTCCTCAGAGCAGCCAGTACTGGTGTCTGACTGCTGAGCGCGGCTAAAACACTACTAACACGCTCGAGTACTGCTCTTATTTGGATGTGGATTATCTGGACGTGGATTCCGTTCGCAGAAGGTGTGACTCGTGCTACTGCTCTCTCCTTTTTGTCTCTACGCTCAAACACTGGGACTTGGTTGAAGCTATGAGACCGTGCCATTCCTGCTCACGTTTACGACTTCCTCATTTATTCCATTGATAACAGTCTGCTGCTGTCAAACAAATTGCCAAAAAAGTCTGACAACAATTCAAAAGTCTACTCTAAAGAGAATCAGCCATAGAGCTGATTTGAATAAAAACAAAAAAAAAATCCCTTTTTCACTTGGACAGCCACTGGGCCAAAAGATAAGTTAAGTGTTTTTGTGACTTATGGTTTATGGCTGGTTACTGTATCCAAAGCCGCTGGTGGAGAGTTGGCCATGGTGTGACATTAGCGATACTGTATATTGAATCAGGACGTGTTGGTATGCAACTAAATAGTCTAATGGACATGGTGCTGCAGTGCTAAACGCATTGCATTGGCCAACTCTTTCACGCAGGGCTCTGGCTGTGTGTGTATACAGGGTACAAACGAAGAAGGCTTTCTTGATGTATTGTTGAGACTGGTAGCTTTTCCCACATTTAGATTTAGAGTTTTTATTTCACTAACCAAATAATGTTGACCCTGTGGCAGATATTAAACGCTGAGCTGCACCCTGCAAGCTGATACACATAAAATACAAATTTGAGTGTTTTTAATCCTGGAGGTAAAAAGGTTGAGATATTTACTCTGAGCCGGCCCTCAACTCACATCTGAGAGGACACTCGAGTGCCTGGCCGTGATTACTGGTTCCTGGTCATTAATCAGTTGTGTTTGAGTTATCTTAACGCGTAGATAGAAATTCAAACCAGCTCCTGGGGAAAAAAAAACAAGTCTTCCACACATTTCTTTAGTCTTCAATTCAACACCTGTACAACATTTCCTCTGCAAAGGATGCGTTTCTGGTGCCAAAGTTGTATGTGTCTGGTGATCTCTGAGCTTTCTCACCTGTGACCCGTGACACAAATACGAAGTTTAATTTGTTTGTTTTTTACAAATTCGTCAGGCACTTATCAGTCACTGTTTCTAATCCTATGAAGTAAAATCTATGTGTTGATTGAGCACAGCCCACTACTGCCAACAGTTTGTGTTCAACACTGAGAACTTTATTGCCAAACTCTTGTATAACAGGTCCATACAACTACGTGGACTAGTTCCACTTTTATAACTCTTTTGTTGAAGTGACCTTTTATAATCTCTTTGTTATTCCTTCAGTGTAACTCTTCTTATTGGGGATTACTGAGATTCTCTGACTGTACCTCATAATCTCAATTTCGGGCAGACGTAACAGTTGGCAGTAAAGCCCCTTGGAGAGTTTGTGAAGGGTTCAGGACATGACTGACGTCAAATAGGAGGAACGCATGAATAAAAGCTGTGGATTTGGGTTAATATCATTTCATGTATTGTGTATTCAAAACTAAAGGGAAACGAAAGTGTATCCAATCTCATGACACTCGGATGGAAACGCTTCTCATGTACAAAACATCACAATTCTGCCAAGTGTTAAATGAAATGCAGAGACTTGTGTTGTCTCTTCACAAAAATGTGTGACATGTTGAAAATCAGACTCTAACTGTGGGAAATGATACTGTATGTACAATCAGGATAGCGATTATAATTACAATGGAAAGAACATTGTATGTATTTTAAAGCTATTGATACTACTTTGATAAAATGCAAAAACGACTGAACAGGAACTATAGGTATGTAAAGTATACTGTGTATAGAGGAGTTTGCTCCAGGGGAGGGATGGGCATGGGGTTCATTCTGTTCATGGCAAAATTGTTTAAAACAGAATATTGATGATTCTTGTCTGTGATGTAGACAACGTCAATGTTGTTGTTTTTTTATATAAAAGGCAAAGTGATTTGAAAATTGTGTCTTTCATTGACTGCATGCCTGTTGATCTTCAAGGTCCACATTGATGAGGAGTTGCAACATGTATTCAAGTGAGTCTAGACTGTGGTAAGCCATCGCTGGTCTGAGTTTTTAAGGATAAGCCTGTGGACAGAGGGGCACATGTTTTAATCCCAGGCTACTCGCTTTAAACAGATGGTATTTTGGCAGCATTTAAGTTCAGAGGTGAATAACAACAATGTGACTTTGTGGTTTGTTGTATCTTTGTCGTTTGACTAGCATATTTTCCCATAAAATCGCAACCCTACGGGTGAGGAGAAGATTACAAGGGGGGGGGGGGGGGGTTAACTTGCTTTTTCCCATTAGGTCATTGCAATTAATAGTTGAAGTTAAGATTATTTATGAAGGCAATTCTCTCCCCTGTTGTTTGCCCTGATCTAGGATTATAATCATTAATTTGAATCATTTAAAACTAGCCAATATGGATGCTGTGTATATTTGGAATGGCTAAATCATTAGATGTTGTTAAGAGTGAAGTAACTTTACAAATCTGCATTCTTGTTGTTCCTGTTTGAAGTCTGAATTAATCAAAATTAGGGTTGTGTTTGTCTGACTATCACAGAACAAAGAAAAAACAGAGACACACAATACTCTAAATGTGTTACTCAATGAGAGAAAGTATTTAAAACTTTTTTAACTGCATGTGAACCTGCAGCACACTCATGGTAGACAATCATGCTGACTATATAGGCTCAACCAAATACTTCACAGAGCAAAGATTGGATTGTTGTAGCAGGAACGTAGAAAAGCGTTTCAGCATGCCTGCTACAAGCGTTTCATTTCAAAACCAACACACATGACTTACAACGTAATGTCCTTGGTTGGAGGTTAAAAAAAAATCCATTCATTCTCTGGAATGAATGGATTTTATAAAATAAAAACATAAAAACAACCAGCAGGGGGTGGTGTATCAGACGTTTACAGAAGAGAACGTGAACCGGAAGCTTTAACGTTCATGTCATAGATCCTGAATAGAGATCTTCACTCAGTGGCTGTGGGGGGAAACAAATCAACTGCAGCATAACAAAATGCAAATGTTATTAAATGTGTAGTGTTTCCCGCAATATTTTCAAATCAAGATTATTCAGCATTATTATTAGTGATATTTAGTGCACAACATAGAGGACAGAACGGAACTAGAGAGTAGAGCGAAGGAGGTTTTGGTGGAGTGGAGTTTTGAGCGGAGTGAGACCTCCTAATGTCAGCTATGAACCCTCATCACTTCGATCACTGATGGTCGATCCACTCATGTCCCCTCTGAGTGACCACAGCGGTGCAGCTACATGTGGCAAATAAGATAACACCGAGATAAACTGCCGTGGAGGGTTTGTTCCGGTTGCGTGCGTTAGTATGCGGTCACCCGTGGACGATGTTAGCTTCGGTCAGTTAACGTTACGTACGGACTCTAACGTTAACGTTATACATGGTAGCGTTACGTACGGACTCTAACGTTATACATGGTAGCGTTACGTACGGACTCTAACGTTAACGTTATACATGGTAGCGTTACGTACGGACTCTAACGTTATCCTCAGCAGCGACACGTTGATGCCCCGAGTTGACCGCATCGCTCTCCTGTAGGTTAGTTATATTATTAACACTCCTTTTGTCTCGTTTGCTTTTGCACTTAAAAAGTTAATATTCGCCGTATAGAAAACGGTGACTTTCACCCGACTTTCGGCCAATGTTATCTTACTTAACGTGTTGTTAATGGAGGTTATATCGACACATGCTAAACGTCTGTCTCAAAACAGGCATTTAAAAGATGTTTCAGTATGAACAAAGAATAGCAGTCTGTCCCCCCCTGGTGGTAACCTTGTGCTACAAACCCCGCTGAGTATCTGCATTATGTGACCTCGGCAGTGTGCATTTCTGCAGCTGTGTCCCTAAAATAAGTAGAAATGCTGCGTCTGACATTTTTGTTTTGGAGAAGAAACACTGAAATAGTTACAAGTACGTTGCAAACATGAAACGCCCTCAGAGTTTTTGTACTGGGGAGCATTGTAATTTGTCCTTTGAGGACTGTAGTTGTCTAGTTCATGCAAACTTGTCAGTTGTAGTGAAATCACATCTTCTCTTGCATTTTATTTTACTTGAGTTATTCTGTTTCCATACACAGACACATTATTACTTCACTGTAAATAATTACTCTTGGTGTCAATGAGGACAGGTTTTATTGCAGTGAACTTTATAACCCAGCTGCTGCCTGTCTGTGGGTTCTGATCACACACACACACACATTCACTGTATTATGAGGTGAAGTGTCATTCATTTTATTATGTTTTACCAGGTAGCTGAGACAAAGAAGAACCTCTTCTGAGACACCATGGCCCCTCACCCGGCGGTCCAGGCCGTCATCGACCTGTCTGCAGGAGCCATAGGTAACTACCGGGCTTCGTCTCCACAAAATCAGCAAACAAACAATATGTAGTCCCTCAGTGACAGGATCCCCTCTGCTTTTTATTTGCATTACCGAAACGCCTCACCAGCCATGTCTGGCGTCGCAGGAGATTTTGATGACGGGTGTGTTTTTCCGGCTCGTTTCTCTCCGTGTCTCCTTTGACTCTTTAAGCCGCTAAGTGGAGTGCATCCACGCTGTCGAGGCTTAAAATGGGTTAAATGCTGAGGTCAAATTTCAAAGTTTAAAACACTTACAAAAAAAAAAACAAGTATTTTCCTGTAGTTTGTGTAACAGCCTTTGTTGGATCACTTCTGTTGTTGACTGTTATCTCACTGTTTTTCTCCAGGGGGAGCTGCATGTGTCTTTAGTGGGCAGCCGCTCGACACGGCAAAGGTCAAGATGCAGACCTTTCCTAATCTGTACCGGGGCTTCATCCACTGCGTCTCGTCCACCTACAAACAAGTGGGCCTGCGTGGTCTCTACCAGGGCACCTCGCCGGCGCTGATGGCCAACATCGCCGAGAACTCCGTGCTCTTTATGAGCTACGGCTTCTGCCAGCAGGTCATCCGCTTCACGGCTGGACTGCACAACGAGGCTGTGCTGAGGTAGGGGGGGGGGGGGGAAGTAAACCAGGCTGCCCTCCTTGTTTCCCTGAGGACACACGTACGGTCTCTTAACGGTCTTCTGTTTGTCCTTCCCTCTGTGTCAGTGACGTGCAGAAAGCCTGTGCTGGCTCAGTAGCGTCCATATTCTCCTCGCTGGTACTTTGTCCCACTGAGCTCGTCAAGTGCCGGCTGCAAGCCATGTACGAAATGGAGTCAACGGGCAAGATTGCTAAGAGCCAGAAGTAAGTGTTTTTTTAAATAGTCACATTTTTGGATATTAATGCATTTACTCTAACATTACATTCAAAGAACTAAAAGTCATGTTTTTTGTCCCTTACTCTATATTACTTATTTGCTATTGAAGCATAACCATAGTGGTTACTTACAAGGCCTGCTGTTTATTTAGTAGGTACATTTGCAGAGGTTATATGGAAAGATTTTTCTGACTTGGTTCATTAGAGGGATAAAAAAAAGACCATTCGTCTATCATTTACTCATCCAGGGTGTCCTTTGTGGTCATTCTGTGGGGGATGTATTCCTTTAACCCTCGCTGAGACCTGCAGCAATCCTGGCAGACATTACTGTACTTTACTGGCATACTGCATCTGCATCTCAAATTAATCTTCAAGTTCCCAGCTTTCATATGATGTATATCGCACTTCTATGTGGCATAAACTGTTGACTTGCTATCTCCCCCCTGAAGATCCCCTGACATATTAATCTGTCAATAACAGTGTGTGTGTGTGTGTGTGTGTGTGTGTGTGTGTGTGTGTGCGTGTGCGCGTGCGCGTGCGTGCGCAATGACTGAGCCATACATCCCTCTTCTCTGTCTGAAGCACAGTGTGGTCGGTGGTGAAGTCCATCATGAGGAACGACGGACCACAGGGCTTCTTCCAGGGCCTGACCACCACCATAGCCAGAGAGGTCCCCGGTTACTTCTGCTTCTTCGGTGCCTATGAGCTCTGCCGCACCACCTTTGCAGACCGCATGAAATGTGAAAAAGACGACATAGGTACTGGGACAATGTTCTGACGGGTTTATCACAAAGCACACACTGGTCCCCCCCCCCCCCCCCCGCCCCATCAACTCAAACAAAGGCTACGCCAATATTCCACATTCATGCAGGAAGAGATCAATCCGTTCAAGCTGACGCATGTTCTCTGGGTGTTGTTGAAAGGAATTCATCCATATTCATCCATATCCAGGATTCATCCATATTACTTATCTCATCTTCAGACCATGCGTACGCACAAATGATGAAGTCTGGCCGGCCGTCTTAATGTAAAAACAAACTAAATGCATCTCATCTTCATCTTTCGAATGAAGCTAATATTACAGACTACACATAATATTAGTGTAGTCTGATCTTGATCTGCACCTGTGCAGAAATACAGAATGAATAGACATGCACAAAAAAGAAAGAAGCTGCGCAGCATTCAAATCTGGCTTTAGAATTGGGACGTCAACGTTATGATTGAAGCTGATTAGAATGATTCTGATTCACTAACATACGCACAGTGATGAAAATAAGTAAGAACATTTGGACACAAATATTCCTGAATGTGCTCATAGAATCATGACTTAATGTAGTGGGATTTTAAAATATAGTTCTACTACATTTAGTTACTAATGTTACAGTTGTTGGACTTTATCTTTGAAACATGTCAATTAGGATTTATAACCCATATAAATAAATGTCCTCTTCATTCACATATATTTGCTTTCCCCTGCTACACATCTGATATACAGTATCATTGCGTCACTGTTTGTGTTGAAGGCGTGGCTCCGATCATGTTCAGCGGTGGTTTCGGGGGGGCGTGCCTGTGGCTCGTAGTCTACCCCTTTGACTGCGTCAAGTCTCGTATCCAGGTCATGTCTATGATGGGCAAACAGGCGGGCTTCTTCAAAACATTCATGACCATTGCTCGCACTGAAGGTAGGTAGACGGGGAGTGTACTGTTTAGTTCTTTGTTGATGTCGGCTGTTTAGCGTTGTCAATGGGAATGTAATCTTTGCTGTTTCCTTTGTTTAGGAGTGAGGGCACTCTACTCTGGTCTAACCCCCACCATGGTCCGCACCTTCCCCGCTAACGGAGCGCTGTTCCTGGGTTATGAGGTCAGCCGCAAGGTCATGATGGAGAAGTTTGACAGCTAAAATATGCACGACACAAATGAAGGAGTACTGAACTGGAGGAGAAGTATTGTCGATCTAGAACCTCATCAAAACTCCGGGTGAACCTTATGATGTGTGGGACCTGGTGTTTTTTTGCCGTTTCCTGCTTTAGTTTAGCATAACTAAAAACTGCCACGCTACATTTCTTTTTAACTTACACTACGTTTAAATCTTTTAAATCATTATATAAATTTATTTTTTAGATTTAGATATAATTTGTTTTTAACTCCCGAAAAATGCTATGCCAACACACCACATGTATGAGAAAAATATACGTGCAGCACAGTATTAAGCAGCCATTTTTTAAGGAATTGTGAACACAGTTTATTATTTCATGTCTACCTCAACAAAGTCGAATCCACACAGAACCACCTCTCTATGCCAGTCATTACAAATCATCCTTTACTTTCTCTGTGTGCTGGTCGACGGGTAAGAAAAACACTCCATGAGGTTGTCTTTAACGCGCACACTCTTAAAGGGCCAGTGTGTAGCATTTAGGGGGGTCCATCAGCAGAAATGGATTATAATATTCATAACCATGTTCTCTTAGAAACTAAGAATCGTTGTGTGTATGTATTGTAATCTGCAGACACACAGCTAGATGCCCCCAAATCCTACACGCTGTCCCTTTGAATCCTTACTTTAGCTCATTGCGTAAAGGTTTTATTTAGAAACGTGAAGTGGCGTTAAATGATTCATTTAAGTTGCCTACAATGTGTTGTGATGGCCTGTGTTTGCGATTGTGGAATCATTCACGGCTAAGTGTGCGCCTCAGTTTTGGATCATTGAGCAGCTTTACTTTTTGACTGAAGACTTACAGGTTTTATCAGCCTCAATAGAAACAAACATAACCAGCAAAAACTCACTGTTTTTGTATTCATGTTATATTCCACTCCTGTTGTGATGAAGTGGGCACTCTTTTTGGTACCCAGTGTTTGCCTTTTTAAATTACTACACTGCCTTTTTTTTGTCGTGTACCCTGGATTTTTCTGTACAAGTCGATGAGAAAATATCAACTGCCTCATCAAATGTGCCGTTCTCACACTGCATTCCACGTGCCGGGTTGTTCCGCTGCTTAGTGGTTGGCTGTTCAGAAGTGGTAATTGAGAAATGTAGGTATTTTAAAATGCTAACAATTTGAGACGACACTGAAATGTTTGTATGGATATCTATCCTGGTATTAATAACAGTAATACAACCTATAATAAAGGTTTCATTGAAGAATAACTTTGTTCTGCATTTTATTTCACTTGGAATCAATTATTTTAACTGAAAAGCGCATTAAAGCATAATATCAATGTGTAATGTCAAATATAATGTAACACAGAATTGGATGAGCAGCTTATATTTAAAACCAATTTATTTCAAATGAACCATATAAATGAGATGATTTATTTCTAACAACATACCTTAATACATCGCATTCCTTTAGAGCTATGTGTTTTATTGCAGCGTTAAGCAGAATGAAATGCACACAAAAAAGTATAAAAATCGACAACGTCAAAAGTAAATATTTCATGCAAATGAAGCAGGAACACTTCTCTCAACCTTCCAGCAGGGAGCGCCAGTCAACCGTCAGGAACTCACAGCGGCTGTAAGTAAAACACACCAAAAAACGTGAGTAGAGATTCTCTGACGTGTCTGATTGTAGATATCCTTACACCAGACACTGTGTTTTCACTTCTACCTATTCTGTTTAACCCTCTTCTTACCCCTTTCTCCATGCAGGTTCCACACAGGCAGCCAAAGAGCCCGTTGATCATCTGAATGGCACAGAAAACCAGCTGCAGACAGCTTGTGGCCAGCAGAGTAGCAAACAGTCCGATGTTGAACTGCACAATGCCCTTAGGCTCTATGCACGTACCCCACCACGTGCTGTCGGTCAGGTAACTCTGGTCTCTGTGCAAACGAGGAGGTGTGTGAGTGATCAGGACTTTAGAAACTGAAATGTCATCGGGAAAGTTACTCCAGCGTGTCACCTGTCTTTAAAAGGTGTGCTCCAAATCAGAAGTACTTTGCAGAGGGGCCCATTTTGCAAACCGAGCACTGCCACGATTAAACTGTACAGGGCACCGGCCACACCCACTGCAGCGAATGCAATTGATAAGAACATCTGCAGAAGTGAAATGATAAGCAAAGGTCAGAAACGTTTATGTTGCACTTTAACACATTATTCGTTCCTCCTGAATTCTTCCCCGTGCTGACCCTCCGCCTCACATTTTTGTCCTACTATTGATAAATGGGTGTTTATTAGTTTAAGGAGGAACAGGCTCAACATTTGTTTCAACCCACATTCCTCCCATTTCTACAGTTTTTTTCCCTACATTCTAAACCAAACCAGCTGCAACATGTTTCTCATCAGCCTGGTCGCAGTAGGTCCTATTTCTAAAGCAGGGTCACACTTTATTTACTGTACTGCGATTGTCATACTGCCCCTATACACGTGACATCAGACAACGTTATCAGAACGTCTTGACAACCTGAAGAAAAAGTCAAACAGGAATACATTTCTAATCTTTATGTTATTCAAAAATAGTCACGGTAATGTGTATCGGTAGCATTCAGAGCTCAAGACACATTTCAATAATCTCGCTGCATACATTCTGAACTTTATAATATTATTTACGGATCAAGAAACAGGTGTACTGTTGTGATGGTTTCAGAGTTCATGACAGTGCAACTTATCTATTTAAAGAGGACCATGGTGTTGTGCAATGGTTTAGTGAGCTTTCTTATTTAGTTATTACATTGAAGTGCATCTGGCCTCCATTAAACTCTTGACTTTAGCTGAAATGTAACTCAAATACATTTTGGAAGTCTTCTTTTTAATGTGTTTATTAATTGGAATCATGTTCATGTGAGACACGTACTTCCCATCATTTATTTCTACTCCCACTGATTTATAAAGTTTTTAACTCTTCACTGACCCTTTATATAGTTCAAATTATCTTCAGCTGGAGAAGTGTATGTCTGCATATATAGATAATATAGCACGTTGCTTTATTGTTAAGCATTTACCAGCCCTCATCTTTCACTGAGTATCTTAACGAGTAGTTTAGAGTGACTCACCCCACAGCGGTTCCCACAGCACCCCTGTTTTCCAGTCAAGTGGATGTAAAGGGCTGGGAGCAACACCTGTGGCAGGAAACATGATTGAACAGTAGCTAATATTCAGTTACATTTAGTCAAAACCTTTAAGCATTTTCACTTAATCTTGATAACTCCCAAGCTTGTAGAATATTTTAATAAACAGGAAGTCAGTGTACCTCTTCAAACAGCGTTAAAATCATTAGATGGCGGCTGCACACCAGTTAAAATCCAGTATTTTCTAGTTTTAGCTTCACATTCCGCACATTTTTCTGAGGCTGCACACTTTTTTCGAAAGGAAACTTAAGCAGCGTGTTGTCGAGCGTCACACCACAAAAGACAACTCACCATTAAACCTCCTCCAACGAGTCCCCCCATGTATTTCACCTCCTCAGTAATGTGTCCGTCTTTGGCATACTTGACGTCCCCGCCAGGAAAGAACAACACAATGTTGCAGATGATGGATATGAGCGCTAATGGGTACAGAGCAACCGCAATGCAGCGGGAGCATTTTCCAGTGCACATGTTGTCAGAGTGAAAACTGACTTGTTGAAAGTAAAACTGACCGTAAAACAACTTGTTGAGTAACTTTAAGCTGGAATACTTCCTGTATTCAGAGAGCGGTTCCACCTGAAACTGACCCAAAGAGGGAAATGTATTTGCCCTGGGAGCAGAAACCAAATGCAGAGAGTGATGTGAGGGCGTGGAGGTGTAATGACAGGCAGATAACGTTGGCAAACAGAGCCTGGGATAGGCCGCCCGATATGAATGTGACTCATTCCCTGGTATCTTTAAGACGACGCTTGTTCTGTTGAGATGGGAATGAATTCAGGTGATCTGAGTCACATGAATTACTGATGGTCAAGTCACTATTACATTCTGTTTAGTTTAGCCACCAGGCCTCCAAAATCAGTTTCCTGTGTGTTGCTGTAAGTTATTAATGCTAAGTTTCTACTCGAGTGTCTTGGTGGGAATTGTGAGAGAGCAGAGATTTACTGTGAGACATGTTTTGACTCTGCCTATTGTGTACAGTATTCAGGTATTCAGTATTGACTTTGTGACGCCAGGATCACAGCACAGTTGGACTTTAGACTTGTGGCAGCATGCTCGGTAAAACAAGAACAATGTGTCATTGACATCGACCGCAAAACATTGACAAATGATCACATTGTTGAATAGTTAAGCACAAACCAGACAAGTGACATCTTTCAGTTCCTCCACTGACTGCAGTTAAGTCTGCATTGCACAAGTAAATTAACAGAAAATATGAATTTTGACACAAAAAAGAGCAGAAGAGCCCATGCATCCCAAACAGTGTTGTCTCCGAGCAACACTCGGGCACGGCAGTGATCCTCGTCAGTGATAAAGGCTGTAAATATGAATTGGAGTTTTCTTCTAACTCAGAAGCAGTGCATGAATACATTTTGTGAAAAATATTTCCCTTAAGGACTATTTCCTTTCATTCACAAACAAATGGATAAATATAAGAGGTAAATACTGTAGATAGTGAATTCTGCATTGACCTGTGTGGGGATGAACCGAAGTCATAAAGTCGTAAATGATAATTCCCTTTTATCTTAAAATGTCACTGCAGGAACATAGTAAATGATTAATCATTTTATGAATATCTGATCACACTTGTTTCACTCGCTTTTGTTACTTTCACAGAAACAAATGGAGGCTGGCAAATCTCTGGCTGCAGCATCGTGAGAGAAAGTCACTTTCTCACAGCCAGGGCGTTCTGTAGCAGTAAGCATCCTGCAAGTGTCCCCGATTTAAGGCAGTAAAAGGTAAAAAATAAATAATTGAGGATATGATTTCCACAATCATGATAAATGGCCTATACCTATACTTGGCCGATAGGATCTCCTGACATTCAATACATTGTACCAGGGGACTAACGGCCAGATATCCAGTTTGTACGTATAACAATCTGGGATAACACTGAAACATTTGATATAAATGTTGATACATTATTGAGTTACATTTCGTCCTATTATACCATCAACATTAGATATGATGAAACATGACACAGAACTGTAGCAGTGGATCAGCAGCTTATATTGTAAGCCAATTTATTCAAACTTGACCACGGAATTAGCATGAATTATTCCTAATACCGTGCTCTGTTCACAACACACCTCAATACATTGCAACAGCGCGAAGCATCACGAAATGCACATTTTAATTGAGTCCGTTATCAGAGACGGCAACAATTTCAAAGCGAATGTTTTATGCAGATGCAGCCAGGAACACTGCTCCCAGTCCTCCAGCAGGGGCGCCAGTCGACTCATCAGATGTGATATGATCAAGTCTTCACCATCCTGACCTGGAGTTCCTGTGAGGTAAAAATAAAATAAAATAAATGAAACTAAAAGGAGGGGAACTGAAGTTTTAACTAAATATGGGACTGAACAACATGGTGAGCTGAAGTGGTACCTCTTTGTTGCAGGCTCCAAACAGGCAGCCAAAGAGGCCGTTGATCATCTGGATGGCGCAGAGCAACACCTGCAGACAGCTTGTCACCAGCAGGGTAAAGAACAATCCAATGTTGAACTGCACCACGTTCTTGGGCTCTGTGCAGTCTGCCCAGCAGCTATAGTCGGCCAGGTAGGTGGAGTTACTGTGTAAAAGAAGAGGCTTATTAATAACCACAACTCCATGGTGTTTATGTCATCAAAAAGATACTTCTGTGTGTGTTACCTGTCTTTAAAAGGTGTCTTCCAACTCCCACCATATTTGCAGAAGGGCCCATTGTCCAGACCGAGCACTGCCACGATGAAACTGTACAGGCCACCGGCCACCCCCATTGCAGCAAATAGAATAGATAAGAACATCTGCAGAGGGGAAATTACATCAAAGGTCAACAATTATAATGTTTACATATTTTCAGATTGTAATTTAAGCCAGTGGTGTTTTGTATCTCTAAACCCAAAGACTAATACTTCTCTAATACTTTCGCAGAACTTGAACTTACAAATAAATGTTCTTTCTGAAAATGAGAAAAAGGGAAATAAACTGTGCTGTGGTTGTTATCATACCTATCTTAAGAGGACATGTTGTGCAACGGTGATGCAGCAAATTCTTTTTTTTTTTCATTCTCAGCTTGACTGGCTTCCGTCAAACACTTAAATCTACAGTAGTTGAGTGTGACAGTTCTTCTTGAGCTTAGAAACAAGAGTTTGATCAAATAACACTAACTCACGGTGTGGCTTTTTCTTTGATCTTTTACCGAGCACCTGAAATGTCTGACTTGAAAAGTCTCACCTCACAGCGATTTCCACTCCCTTGTTGTGAAGTCAAGTTGAGGTAAATTGCTGGTATCAACACCTGTGGTGGTACACATTAGTTGACAGGGAATTAGATGCAGCATCGGTAAAACATGGTAAAAATAGCTAATAGGTGTGTTTAAACAATTCAGCACTTAGACCGCCGTCTTCAGTCAGTCTGGTTTTGAGGAATTCCTTTTCAAACTGTGCCAAACTTGTCATTGAAAGACTTTGCCTCAGTCATGAGTGTGCCTCCTGACCGCATCATACAATATGTGGTGCCACTAATGAATAGTGCAATTGATTTTAAATGTTATTAGATTAAGAGAATCACAGATCTTGAAGCACACAAATAGGACACGGAACGGGTGAGATGACCACTGCAGAACCAATAAAAAAAAATATATATATAATATATAAAGCAGTTAAGTTGCACATGTCAGAAACAAGTTTATCGCAGCTTTTAGACCAGAGTCACACCTTTCAGTGACGGACTACTCACCATTAAACCTCCTCCAACGAGTCCCCCCATGTATCGCACCTCCTGAGTAATTTCTCCATGTTTGGCATACTTGATGTCCCAGCCAGGAAAGAACAGCAAAATGTTGCAGATGATGGATATGAGCACCAGTGGGTACAGAGTAACGCCAATGCAACGGGAACATCCTCCTGAGCACATGTTGTCAGAGTGAAAAACTACTACAACTACTTGTTCATTAGGTCTTTGCTCTGATCCTTCCTGTTTTCAGAGAAGAGAAGTCCCACAAATGACGGTGAATTGCTGTTACATGTACTTAGTGACTTGTTTTTTTCGTGTACATTATAGTTGTTGGAGTAATTTTAGTCCAACAAGCTTTGTACTCTAAGTTGAGTAGGGAGGAAAATCAATACTGGAAGTATACCTCATTTCACTTTTCTTTTGTCTAAATGTATAGTTTAACACACTTAACTGTTCTGAATTCATGCATTACACTGAAAGACAATCAAGGACTTCAATAACTTTTAAACATTTTATTTAAGTTGTCTCAACAATCGGCAAACAAGGGATAAAAGCTCATGAAAACATTGAAATGTTCTATTATTTATGTAAAACCTACAGTAAAACGTACTACTTGGCCTTCCTTTTTAGATAATTCCTAATGTTTTTGAGATGTCTAACTGACATCTCAATTTACATTTATTTATTTATTTATTATCTGATCACACCTGGTTTTATTATCGTATTATTCGTAACTATCATTGACATGTGAACTTAATTAAGCACGTATGCATGAGTGTATGTATGATCTGTATGTTCTATGCTTGCATGTGGATTGTGATGCTGGTAAGTGTATTACTGTATGTATTTTTGTTGTTGTTTAGTGTCTCTTTGTAGTTGTTATCCATCTCTCATATTGCATCTCTTCGTAGTCATTTTATGTTTCTTTCCGGTCATTTTGAGTCTCTTCCTGGTTGGTACGTGTCTCCTTGAGTGACATTTTGGACCCCTGGGCCTGTGCACGTTTTCAGTAATCCATCCATAGGTCGATGTCATTTTAAATATTTTTTAACGTGGTGACTGAACTTTCTTGTGGGGAAGAAAATCCTTAGAGACACAAATAACTAGCCTATTCAAAGCAGAGTATTTTCATAAAACCTGTCTGGAGAGTGTTTGATACATACCAATGTATCAATGTAGTATTTTGTTTAGGGAAACATATTTTTCCAACAAAGAATAGGAGGCTAGGTGGACCTCCGGACTGCATGGTCGACCCTCAGAGGTCCTGGCTTTGTGTCCTCGTTTGGCCTCCGCTGTAAATATTGGGGAACCTTTGAACCCCTCCCCCTGATACTGAGGAGTAACGTAGCTCACTCCGGGCTACAGCTGACCCACCATGGCCACGTCTACCGCCAAAGACTTCCTGGTTACCTATTTAATGCCAGAAAAATGCTATGAGAGGATTTTCGTCAACTTTCACATGAACGGTGAGGCCCGTGGTGGTGATATTTATTTAGTAAGCGCGTGAAACGGAAAAAAATAATTCCAGATGTGCGGGACGTGGGGGCGCGCGCGTGTCTCCCATAGACTGTGTATTTATCCTCTCTTAGTTACAGTTCAACGATGTAAAGTTTTTGTTTTTCTAACCTAAAACTGTGATATGCTCTTTGTTTGAGTTACTATTTCCGTCACTCTTTTACAAATTCCAGCCACACGTCTCTTATCCAGCAGTGAACATAATATCTGATTGTTTGAATGTTTTTCTTTTATGTCGCAGTGCCTTGCCTAAAGTTTATAATGAACAGAATTGTCGGGTTTTGGATCTTACTGGACGCTCTTCTGGGTAAGAAACTTAACCTTAAATCTGATGTAATCACGTGACAGCAGCAGCAGGCCATCACCAACAAACAACTAAAACAAAGGTGTCTCTTCTCCCCCGTAATGATTGATCATTATTGATTGGATCTCTGTACTAGTGTATTGTTTGATCATAATGATCAGTGCTCTGGTAAACTGATACTGCTGTCCCAGTGTAGGTAACCATGACACATGATATCACAAAACACCTGCATCTACATCTGTGTCCATAATAATAGCAGTGTGTTTAAAAAAGTGAGTAAAGCCCAAAATCCTTATAATAGCTGTTATTCCGATACATGCCAATGCATTGGGAGCACTGCACATTTTATTCCAAATCAAAAATTTCTCAAATTTGTTATTATGCATTTGTCTTTACAAACACATTTACTGTATAAACTGAAAAAAAATGCTTGAAGATTTAGCTTTCCTGTGAATCACTGAACTAATATTTAGTTGTACAACCACTGTTTTTGAGAACTGCTTCACATCTGTGTTGCATGGACTCGACCAACTTCTGGCACCTGTGAACAGGTATTCCAGCCCAGGACGATTGGACTACATTCCACAATTCCTCTGCATTTCTTGGTTTGGAATAAAAGCTATTATACGGATTTTGGGCTTTACTCACTTTTTTTAAACACACTGCTATTATGTTTGGACACAACTGTACATGTCATCTGTGCAAAAGTGCAGACATTTCCACAGTACAATGAAGTAGCCAATGCTACTTTATATGGATAGTAAGAGGTTTTGTGTCCATCATTGCAATGTTGCACTCATTGTTTACATATTGATTGCTAATCTGGACACAACCACCAAACCCACTAACTAACTCTGTTAGTTGTCGTCACTCCTCCTTGTCTGCCGTCTCCCTGCAGCACAGCTACCACAGCTGTTCAAGATACTGTGGCGAAGAAGTGCAGAGGGCCTGAGTCTGACCTCCGTGCTCCTGCAGCTGTATGCCTTCTCGTGTCCTGTTGTGTACGCCGTGGCCAACAACTACCCACTCTTGTATGTATTTAAGGACATTCAATTATTCTCAACCTGTGGTCAACAATTCACTGGCAGATCGGAGTCACATGTTTTATTTCATAGTCATGTTGCACCATGCTGAACTCCGGTGTCCTCAAATCGCAGGAGTTCATCTGTTTGAGTGATGCTGGAAACTAAACCAATGTCATTAACGCGTTCAGGCTTGAAGCCACATTTTACCAGTGGTTTTCTCAGTTTGCTCGTGATTTATGAATGTGCACTGGCGACATCCATTTAAAAACTGTTGGTTAACATAGTCTCCAAGGAATTGTGGTTCTCTGAGTATTTTTCCGTTTTGCGTCTGGCAGCATGTACCTGTTATCATAGATGTGTGCTTTCCATGTGTTTTACATAAACTGCTCTACAGCGCCTGGGCTGAAAGGCTCTTCACCTTGGCCCAGACAGCAGCAATAGTCTTCCTCATCCTGCATTATCGGGGTGATACCCTCACAGGTTAGCACACATACCTGCACATTCACATTTTTTTCAAATTCACATACCAAATAATGTATACACTTTTAGGATAACTCTGGCATTATTCTATATTTTTCTTATTGTCAACAAATCCCATAGAAAGACCAAAACCCGAGTCTCTACCCTCTTCCTGTCTGTGGCTCTCGGTGTAAATCCTTGAAAACAGTTAAAATGCACCACTTACAAGTGACGACATCGTTTCAGGTTGCCCATGTTTTCACCAAACTCACTCACAATCTTCTTGTTTCATTTTTGCTCCGTGTTCTACTAGAGCGCCACCTTGTGGTGTTACCTCTCCACTCATACACTTCCCACAGACACTTTTTGGTAGAAAAACAATTACTCTTTTTACTAATTTTCATAGGTTGAGATGATAGTTTAAAAAGTGAATGTTTAAGTTTTGTCCAATCACTATTGATTCCGTAAGTGAACATTCTTGGTAAAACGTTCTGTGTTCCTTATGCGCTGCATTTTTTTTGTTGTGCATGAAGTTCCTCATTCATTTCCTGTTTTACACTTGTTTGGCAGGGATGCTGCTCCTCTTGGCTTACGGGGGTGCAATGTTCCTTCTGGGCTCCTACGCGGCTGCAGCAGTTGTCTCAGTGATGCAGGCCTCCAGTTTGGCAGCTTTAATTGCAAGCAAGGTAGCAACTCAATGGCTTATCCTGTCAGTGCAATTTCTGAGCTGTCCTGATCTGTGAACTGTGAAGTGATCGTGCACAGTGCAAATCTATCAGGAGAGTGAATTTGTTTGCCGGATTTGTTGTTTCCAGGTTCTCCAAGCTAGAACCAACCACTGTAACGGCCACACGGGCCAGCTGTCGACTCTGTCTGTGTTAGTGTCGTGGGCTGGATCTCTGGGTGTTCTCTTTGCGTCTCTACAGGTATGCAATCAGGATTAACTCACAACAGAGCTGCACGACCACACATTTTACACCACTTCAATCTGTCATCGTTGTCTTTACTAACTAAGTCGACCTTTGTCTTGTAGGAGACCGTAAGCTTGTTCACCACTTTGTCCCAGACACTCTCAGCCGGTCTCAGCTGTGTCCTCCTGGTCCAGGTCCTCTGCTACAGGAGCAGCACCGCCACCACTAAAACGAAGAGTGAGTAGAGGTGGTGGACAGTGACATATAAACACTTACATAATATGCAAATCCTTCCCGTCATTCAAGAACTGTTTTGACTCTTTGCCAGATGTTGGCACATCAGTGAGTCAAATACAGCGCAGACGCATCCGGAAATGTTTACGGCGTCTTTTTGTACAAAAATGCCTGTGTGCTGTACTCGGATCTACTTTAAAGCATGTCCTGTGTTTGTGTAAACGAGAACTCTTGTTGTCCTGCTATTTAATCGTTCTATACATTTCACATTTTATTTCTGCATTTAGTGTCTCATTATTGTTAGATATTTAAAAAAATCTTTTGTCGCTCTCTAGTGGTGTAAATAAGAATGACTTCACTCTCAGGTGGAGCACATCTTTCAATGGCATCTGTAGGTGACAGCTGCCATATAAGTCTTCCTCAGATTCCAGAGAGAATTTATGTCATTTTTAATACAAGGTTTTAAACTGGGGAAGAGGTTTAGTCATGCAGCAGACACAAGCTAATTCGCAAGCTTTTAGTTTTACCGATTACTCACTCCTCTGTGGTTGAAGGTGCATCCTGCTGATGATGCATTCAAGTCGTGTCAGACTTCCCTTGCAGCCTCTCCCACTCAAGCATTTACCGGGTGACGTGAGTTAAGTCCCCGAGGGTTCAGGGCTTAAGGCCTCAGGAGGGACATTGGGGTCGGGCCCTTGTCAATCATTTCTCGGCTCAGATCTGAGAGATTGAACGCCATCAACCTTGAAGTGTCAATGAGAGCAATTAGGGGAAAGCTCCACGAGAGGGTGCTGTGGTAGCTCTAGTAAATCATGTCAAAGACGATGATTAAAACAATCGTTTCACCTACATATGGGACTTTGAATATACTGAAACCTGTTGATGTTTTTAGATATCTAAGCAGCACTGATTTTGTATTTAAGAATCCTTTCATGAATGCCTCTGGACTGGCCTCTGAGCTTCAAGCAATGCCAGCCACCGGGAACAAAATGTTCGGTGTTGCTCAGTAACACTCCAGACATTTCACTGAGGTGAGCTGGCAGCCAGTTACACATTAACCTTGTTTGCTTTGGCAGTTACCTTTTTGTTTCCATTCAACTCAACACAAAAATACTGGTGTCGTGTGTCACCAGCTATAATAAACTATTTCTTTATGCGTTTTTATAGTGCATACCTGATGAACTGTACACTGAACTCAATTTAACGATACTGTGAATTATTGTCTCTGAACTTTAAGTAATAAAATGAAAGAATAAGCAGACCTGTCACCTTTGTCAGGACCGTCGAAGGCGCACATTATCTGTATGTACATAAAAAGCACGGCCTCGTATTTATGTTTGCATTTTCAGACAGCTGACTTTCTGAATGAAACAGTTTAATATCCAAAGCACAGCACTGCCACAATGGCCCAGCTAACACAAGGAGAAAAACGGGTCTGTCTTCTGTGTTATGATGCGTGTCGGTGATGAAGGATACAATTCACGTCGGCATTTTGACACCAAACACGGAGCTAAATTTAGCCTCCAAGAAAAACATCAAATTGTCCAAGAATTAAAAGGCAGACTGCAATCACAGCAGAATATATTTACACAAGCTACAGCCCAGTGCACGCTAAAGGTATGTGAGCAGCTGAGCTCCGACCAGATACAGACTTTTACAAATGTCAGTTTGTGAAGAAACACCATCGCAGACCGAGTTCAGGAACTAGCAGCAATCTAACAACACAGCTAGCTAAGAGACGAGCAGGTACTCGTCTTCTTCATCAGCTGTTGATGAAAGCACAGACAACACGGACACATCATACATCATCTATCCATGTTTATAAGACCTGGCTCTCAGTGAGGAGCTCTTGGATGGAGCTGCCATGCACGGGACGACGGCGGGGACATTAGTGATGCAGAGAGGTGACAAAAATAGCTTTGAACAAAGTTAATGTAATGACTTGTGTTTGATATTTGTCTTTGTTATTTTCTTAACCCTAAATTAAAATGATTTATGCTATAATAACAAATGTGCTTAAATATAATTTTACATTTATGTGTACAATATTTTTACAATTGAATAAACAATAATCAAAAGCAGAGAGAGTTATTTAACAATATGTTAGGAGTAGTTAGTTATACAGTCTTACAGTTACAACCGGCCCTTTGAGGGAAACCATGATGCTGATGTGGCCCGGAGTGAAAATGAGTTTGACACCCCTGATATAGAACAATCAAATATTCACACAGTCTGGTTTCTAATCTGGTTTTGATCTTAAGGAGTTTGATTGGTATTGTTATGAAACACCACAAATTGTGTATGGCTTGATGTGAACTAAACAAGTTTGTTTAACAGAAATTATTAACATTATTAAACAGACACGTGTGCAGATAACAGGTAAGCTAACCTCCAGCAACATAAAATAAATGTATTGGTAATAAAATCGTAATATATTTGACAATTTTCAACATACCTGTGTTATGTCAATATGTAACTAATCTCCTAAAGGGGCTCAATGACGCGGTGAAACCGTGCTCAGTTAGTTAGCGTAATCTATTCATTGTTTGGGTTTCATCGTGTTTTTTCTATCGCACTCGTCTAATTATTCATTTAGAAAAGCATAGGCGATGCAAATTAGCTCAGCCTATAGGCAAATGCTATATGAAATTAATCTTTTCAGTAACAATGGTACTGATGCATCTAAATATAAGCGCGCATTAAGCATGAAGCAATGCCGACGGTTAAGATGCACTGGACTCTGTTTGTACGTGCAGGTACGCTGGTCTCTGGTTAAACTAAAATCATAAAGAACATGGAGGCAGTCTTATCCCGTGGATACAGTCAGAGACACATTTTACTGCCAGTGTGGTGTGTTCAAAATGAAGCATGGAGCAGCTTGCCACCTGGTCAATTCGCAGCAAGCATTTTATATTACAGTTTTTGTGCCACTGTGCTGGTTGTTGCCACAATCCATACATTTTCCCAAACTGTGGGACACATTTGATGCTTTCTCCAGAGGGTACAGACTTAAGTCCAGTGTAGATTATTTATATATTTTGGAAAAGCATAACTGAGGAGTTATAAAAGAGCCATGGTGTTTGGCAAACAGTATTGCGGTTTCCTTTACGTTCCTATGCAGGTTATCATATCTGTGCACATATGAGGCTTTGACATTTTCACCTTCTTCCTGACACTTTTGAATGTACTCATGTGTTTTCTTTTTGGAGTGTAAAATGTGACTGTTGCTCTTTCTCTCTCCCATCAAGAAAGACGGCCATCTCCTGGTTTTCCTTTAACCACATAATGGTATCCTCATTAAATGAGGCCTCATTTAGCCTACGCACTCAAGAGCTTTAATGAGTTACCCATTTTTCCGGGTGTTATCTGAACTGCTGGTACAGTTTGCGCAGTTCATCCCAGAAGAACAAAGACAGAATGGTGTGTGGGCCAAGCCGGAAATAAGAGGCTCCCAAGCCTTTGTAGAGTCCCATCAAGCCTTCTTTCCTCAGCGTCTTAGAAAAGCAGTCAGCGAATCCTTTATAAAGCTGCCCCTAAAAGATGAGAAAATGAAAGTCAGTCTGGATTTGATTCTCTGAATTTTAAAGCCGGATGTGATGAGTGTTTGAGCTCTCCTTTGTTATCACTTCTTACGAGTTATAATCGTTAAGGGTAACCCACTGGTTTAACAGTGTCAGACTCACCATAGACTGTTTAAAAAAAAAAAAAATCATTCTATTTTAATTCTTCCTTCACATTAACTACAACGCAATTTGACAGATAATAATTTGGTCAGAGTTTCCGGCTGTGTCGTAAAGTGGTTAAGATGTTTTGTGGCACACACACACACACACTATTAGGTGTATCTATATTTTACCAACAATGTGTTGGATTGTACAGTCCAATAAATGACTTCGGCTATTTTATTGGGATCAGGTCTCTCTACATCAGACGGTTTGTTACATTGAACCATCTGAGGAGCCGTCATTGGAAACGGTTTGGAAAAGAAGAGCAGGCGCTTTAAAAAGACACTTGACAGGTGATTGGATGAACCATCTGTCAATCAAACTCCTACCGAAGCCGGTCGGGAGAAGAGGGAAAACATCTTTTCCATGGAGAAAAGCCTTCAGTGCTGGTTTTGGCTCTTCTTTCAAAGAAGAAATAGTCTCCAAATCTGATATAACTGATTCTACTGCAGCATCTACATTAAGCTCTTAGGGAACACGCCTCTCTGTGTCATCTCGCACACGCCTCGCCCGTTGCTCCCAGTAGCTCCTCACACGACGCTGATTGGTCCGTGCTCTGGCTTACCGGAGACACTCGAAGCCTGACTAGATGGATTTTTGTGTGATAAGAGACATTGCAAGAATGGAGCTGCCATGCAAGGTAAATGCTGAATTGCTATTGCAGGGAAAAAAATGTCAACGTTACATACGTAGTGTAAAAAAAAAAAAGGGGGTTTGATGACCAAAAACCTAAAGAAGTGTAACTTTTAACACATCAGTCTCTCTCCTCACCTTGCCCAAGTGATCCACGGGCTGGTTGTAGAGCCGTGTGCTCACTACATCAAAAGGTGTCATCGCCATCACCACCACCACACTGCTGATCATGCCGGCACTTAGGGGCACCAACCAGCTGTCCTTTGGGAACACCTTGGGAAGAAGAAAATAACATAAGGATAAGGATAGAAGACCATAAGGATAGAAGACCATAAGGATATGAGAGGCTCTAGTCGCAGTATGCTAGTAGTGAGACTAGACAGGATGTAGCAGCAGTGCAGTGATTCTAGACCAGTATCATCATCAAGATCTTATTTTAACTGGTCATGATCTCTTATATGCAATAAAACAGAAGGATGATTATTATGAGTGACTATGTTACACACACACACACACTCTCCAGTAGTTCCAGTCAAAGCTGTTTTTTGTGCAAACCTGATGTTCACAAAAGTATACAAAAAATACTTCATTACGCAAAGAAGAGGACATTTGTGTGACCCTTTTATAAAGATGGTAATACATCAATTAACAACAATAAACATAAAACAAAGCAGCACATACCAATCTTTAGGTCTTTGAAGGCCTTTTACTTGCACCGTCACTCACCCACCAGCCAATTAAAACAGCTAAAGTAGTACATGACAACTTTGAACCAGAATGTCAGGATTCTTTTCTGAACTTTTTTGCAGACCTGTCAATTGAATGCAGTTCACTGATATGTGTTTATAGTTCTGGCTTTAAGTATGAAAGATCTTTTTTTTTTAAACTAGAAACTGGTCAGCAGTAATTTGCAACCGTTAAACCGGTGCACTAGTTGTGTAAGCTCCACGTTTTCAGACAGGGGGCCCAATGAAAGGTGTCGAATTTCTATTCCAGAAGAGTGCAATGCTTTGTCAGCGCCACAATGACTGGTTTTATAATCTGTACACAGCAACTGACTACAAATGACCTCTTCTCAAGCCTGCAATTAAGGATTATTTTCACGATCAATAGATAAAACGAGCAAATGTCGTCCAGAAACATGTTCTTATTGTGTTAAGTTACGGCCCCTCGGCTAATCACAGCAGCTCTCTGCGAGTTATGCAAGACCCCCAAAACAGACATGTTTATTATCAAACAGTGCGGTCATAAGAAAGACGTGCACATGCGGTGGAAGACTGGGGAGACGGCATTCCTCCAGTCAGCCTGTTTCCACTCGTCACCACTGAATTTAGATGACTTTCATTAAACCTCGGCGAGTCCTCCTAGGGAGCAGTGAAATATTCTGACCTGCAGGTCAACCACCAGCTCCTTGGAGGAGGAGAAGGTGGAGAGTTGTGCAGCTGACCCCACGCTGACCCTTGGCACAGCAGCACTAGAGCCCCTCCACAGTCCCAGAATGCCATGCTGCTTGTAGATGGCTGACAGAGCCAGGATCATCCCCTGGCAAGGAGGAGGAAAACACAGAACTGTTTATGCCTGCCACTCGTGTTTAATACCGTCTCAGGGGTTATTTTGTTACCTGGTGCTTGTGCTGATGTCCAACTGCAATAGAGGAGGTAGACTGACTCTGCAGATGAGTCTTAACCTGTCAATCAATGGAGACGATTTGTGTTTACTTTTCCTCCAAAAGTTACAAGTGATAGCTCACCGTGAAATGTCACGGCCGGTAAACCTTAAAGGAACAGTACAAAGAAAGTCGAGCCTGCTCCGGCTACAGTGAACCCAGCTACTGACCAGGTATACGGGACTTCCAATCACGGCTCCGACCACTCCAGCCACAGCCCCCGCTAACGTGGTTTTGGCCGCGCTGACCCTCCCGTTAGTGTGGATGTATCCGGAGGACTCAATGACGGCGTACGAGCCCAGCCTGATTCCATTCATAAAAAACTGATAAACAAGCCCGGGCATCAGTCCTTTCTGCAAACCGGCCAGTCCGTCCACTTTGCCGATCGTGTAAAACGCGTGGAAGACGTTGCGGTAGTAGACTTGGTACGAGCCGCGGCTCTTGAGCTCTCCCTGGAGCTGCATGCGCGTTTTGACGACTTCCAGCGGGTTGGTGAACAGACAGGCTCCGCACGCCGCCGCTCCGCTCAGCACGAAGTCCATCGCGACTGTCCGGCGGAGATCAGAGGCCCGGCTACCAGTCCGACCCGTCCGTCATGGCAGAGGAGCTGTACACGGTGTACACACACTTATTACGCGACCGGTGAGATGGATCTGCGCGCAGACATTGGAGCACTTCAAGAGCTCCTCGTAAACTCGTAATTCCGAAATAAATTGGCAGAAATAGTTGTTACTACAGACAATTTATTTTCATGTGTATTCATTTTAATTTGTAATTGTATTCTATGTCTAAAAATTGGCCTATTTTCCTATTATTATATTAGTTTGTCTTATGATTTACGGACTGAAATAGCCTACATTTATTTTATTTCTCTCAGCCTTTGCAGAAACAAACTAATCTAATTTAAGTCATATTTTGATATTTTTGCTGAAATAACACTATACAGAAACATCCACTGCAAGATCCTAAAGTGTGATATGCTAAGTGAATTTAGATAAAATGTTTTGTTTTATAAAAAATACATTGCCATGAATAATGCATGTCAGATAAAAGTAACAAAGTATATAGTTATAATCATGTACACGGTGTACTGTGAGGATAATGGAGATATTAGTATTGGATGTACACTCGACCGGTTCCCTAAACGTCTCATCTTGGATGATACCCCAGCGTATGTACGTAGGTGTGACGCTCGTCTTCTCAGCCAATGACAAGCCCCACAGTGCGCTGGGTGGCTGACTGGATAAGCAAGTTAGGTACGCTACAAATAATGGGCGGTCAAATTGACGCGTTATAATATGTTTATAATGCATACGTGGTCATCATAGAAATTGTTACCAAACTGGTTCTTAATTGTGCGAAAACATGCTTCCACACATGCTGAAAAAGCGCTCACCTTTTACTGTACTTAAAATAAGCAGCATAGATTCTTCCTCAGCTGAGTTTCCCAAACATTTTCTCAGCAGACACTTACAGCAGAAAAGCATAGTTGGACTGACTAATTATGGCCCCATTCCAGCAATTAATGTGATAGGTTATTGTGTTTCACAGGTCAAAATGTCTCATATCCAAATGACTGTGACATAATTACCCTTGATTGACTCAAAACACTTATCACTTATTTAAATGCTAATGAATCACTCAAAAACGACCAGGGGTCTTAATCATGAATTGAAAGACAGCTACATGTTTACACACAATACTACAAACAAAACACACATCGTCTTTCTCCCTTTCCCAACTATATCATGTAAGCCAATTAGAATTTAAAAGAGTTTGAGATCAACAAATGGTCCCTAAACTATAGGCCGTAAAAATGCAGACACAGGAGAATAACCGATGAGGCGACATTCCTGCTGAGAAACTCCAAAAGTCACAACATTATCTGTGTCCCACTGAGCTGGGACTCATTGATCAGACCTTTAATTTGTGTCTGCTTTTTAGTGGTCAAAGAAACCAATGGTTCCTTATCCACTCACTCGTGTATTAGTGTGTCATTTTATATTACAATAAGGTGTTGTTTATGCAGTCAACATCACACCTCAGGTTGTGAATTGATTATGATACTTTTCATGTAACACCAGCATTCTGAGTGAAAAGATGATTACTGATGCCTAATCTCAGAAGAAGATGCACAGTCGTGGCCCCTTTCCACTAGAGGGGGCTGCTTGTACATCTGTACAGTACTGAATATGCTTTCCATCAATCTAACTGGGTCTACACCACCACCATGTTGACACTATAGTAGTCATCTCTGGTTGCAAAATGATAACGGTTATATTTCTGAGGTGTGTGGGTGATATGAAGCTATGGATAAGGAGTCAATCTACAGAATCCCACTGCTCCTGGAGTACAGTAAATGCAACATTCATGCTCGTTTTTCTTTAATTCAATTCTGTGGAGGAAACATACAATAGATGTTTTATTTAAGTGCATTTCGGGATGAATCTGTTTTTATAGATTTACTGCTGAATTTCCTTTTTTTGTAAAACTAGAACCATGATGGATGAAATTGTTCAGAACAATAACTTTCACCACATGTCGGCCTGTTTGATTATATTCAGACATGTGCAGACACATCTATGTGGTCATAGGATGCACAATATATTATGATACTGTATGAAATCAGTAAGCATTATTGCCACACTGTGATCACTCCCCGCACTCTGCAATGTGCAAAAAATATTTTTTTAAACAACAACAAGTGAATGAACCCACAATGTTATCATGTGAGTCCTGTTACCTGCATGAGAAACATCTCGTCTGCTGATTTGTACACCAAGAAACAGGTGTACTAACTCACAAAGCTGTCAGTTTGCCTCTATAGATGGTCCTCATGCTGTGAGCTCAGTGAGTCACGTTGCACCATATTGGCACCACAGCTCCTCACCGTCCTGGTTTCATTCTGTCGAACTATTGTATAATTTTAAACTGGAACAGCAGGGTGACCTCCAGCAACTAATTTAGGGAGGAAGAGAGATAAGAAAAGGGACGGGAGAGAGAGAATGAGCAAGAAGCGAAATAGCATAGTTGTCCTTGGGAGAAGACTCAATGGTATAATTATCTTTTAGTAGGTCACACGGCCCAAACTATAACCCACTAGGTACCGGTGCCTGTTGACTGCAGCTACCAAATGTTCTTCTTTGTTGGTGACATACAGCTTCAGTTGTCTTTGGAATGTGGGGGAGAAACATGACATAGCAGAGCACAAGGATGACGTTTTGTAATGACATGCATATTTCACATGTAAAGATTGAAATGAGTCCATAGTTTGAGGAATAAGTGCATCTTTAAGTCACACAACAGTAAGAAGTCATTGCAATGGTGGATTTTTACTGCCGAAATCTGATTTGTCAATTCAACCGGTCCCCTCCTTACATCTTTGTGCTCGAGAAGCCTTTTGTCACTGTTTTTATGGATTCCTTGATATACTGCGGTTGATTTATAAAATTAATTTACTATAGATTTTCTAGGTGAGCCTGTGCTGAACAAATAGGCAGCTAGAAGTGACAACAAAGAGAATCTCTTACATTTCAAGTTTTATCAATAGATAAAGTATATCACTGACAATTTCAACTAACTTTTCACTGAGACCGATTAGAAGTGAAGCTCGTCTGCATTTGCAAAGAAAGACTTCCATGCCCGGCCAAATTTAAAAGAGGACTTGCTATCAGAGCATTGTCAGAGGTGTTGGTGATAAGGAGAAGAAACCAACAGGGGTAAAATAAAAGGCAAATAAAACATTTAAGATGAACTATACTTTTTAAAACAGGGTTCAGCTCTAAAGTAATCTAGCCTGTGGATATCTTTGGAGTACAGTAAACTTTAACAACGGGGCTGCAACTGTATAAGCTATAAGAGGAACAGCAGTGTTGATCGTGAATTGTGCTTCTTCTCAGACACTCTATTTAAGGTCAGCACAGAGACCCCCACCTTCACCCAGATTGGAGTCATGCGATTCAGATTTAAGGGCTGGGAATATCAGTCACATTGTGCTGGGCGCGGGGGGGGGGGGGGCTAATAGAGATCATGTCCACCCGGCTGTGAAGCTACAGTGACACCAACTTTACCAAACCCAAGCCCCTCCAGCTCCACCCTGGTCACTGCACACACTAATGATGACCCCACCCACACAGGTCCCGTCTATAGTGAGCAGACAGAGAGGGGGTTTAGCTCAAACTGCTGCAATCTGCAGAAAGCACTGTGCTGGACCTACTCTGGCAGCCAGTGGCAGCCTTATATCCTGCACTCAGCTCTTTCTCTTTGTCATGGCGGATTGTGGATGAGCTCTCTGCTGGGGTGTGGGTCTGTTAGCAGAGGTGGGGTCTGGGGCCGGGGGCGTAAACAGGTTGTGTGTGTGTGCGCTATAACACATACCCACAGCTCAAATTACAGATTGGGGTCTTTCTTTTACCTTTAGCATGCCTGTACAATGTCTGGACTGTGACCTTGAAAAAGTAAAATGTAAATGCACCTGAACTTGAGTTTGTCCACTTTTAAATAGGAGAGTTTGTACCGGACGGACATAAGTCAATGTAAAGTTTTTAATTTGTATTGTTCAGATGATAATGACAACTATACGAGACTTTTTTGTACAACAATTAGACAATTAGATAAATAAAAAAATGTCAGATATGAATTCAAATCAGTATCACTGAAGAGTAAATGAGGTAAACATAAGATTAAAGTGATGTTAATATGTAAAAGAAAGTCGTTCAACCAAAATATATCCTGATACATGTTGGTTCCAGTGACTAACTGAAATATACAGCTGAGTATTCTCAGCATAGCAATGAAATGTGTTTGCTTATGCTGAACTACAATAGCAAAAATAGCTTTCTTCCACCGTTTCAGTGTTTTTAATGTTTGTATTTAAAAAACTATATCTGGGTTATGTCATATGTGTGTGTATGTGGGAGGGTCACGTCATCAATGACAGAGAGTTGAAAGTCGCATGCACATAGTATGTGATGTTTCTACAAATTCCACTTAATCATTTACAAGAACAGAACTGGTAATTGTTTTCAACAATAGGGTGACATTAGTGTAATTAAGCTCTCCAAGTTAGCCGACTGAATGTAGAAGAAAAGACTTGTTAGTCTACTTGCATCTGACAGTGTAACCGAGTAAACAATGTCAAAAATCTTTGAAAAGTATTGTTTAACCTTAACATAATCAGGGTTGTTTCTCCTAGAGCAGTTATTCCTCTTTAGAAATACTGTGGTCACAGTTTCACACATTCACATTCACATAACAACCACAATCTGATCAGTTGGCCATTGAGCAGCATTGCTGGGACAGATGATAGTTAATGTTGTTGCTCAACAGCCCTTCATTTTATTTGAGTTTATGTTATCAAGCTTAGACAATAGGAATTATCTCAGAAATCTGGCTGATGAGGATTAAAAATCAACAGTGTTATCTTTGCAGTGCAAGGTCCCCTTTTGCTCCGTCCCTCACCGTAGTTCAACTGTCCATCAATCTAACCGAAATAAGTCTGTTGACTCAGGTGCTGAGTGAAATACACATTTTTGAGCATGTGACACATTTGTTGATAGTGCAAATCAATAGCAACCATTGATGCTATAGCTGCATTTTGATAGATCCTGCCCACTCAGAAAGCTTCAACTACAATAATACACTCGCAGCAAAAATGCTAAATGCTGGAATGCCACTAACAACACAGCAGAGCTTTTTCACTACCACGAACTGCTTATAATGAGTAGCATGCTATT